GGGAGTGTGTGTGGATACGGGTGTGTGTAGTGGGAGTTGATAGGCGTTGCTGAAGGGATGTTTGTTGCCAGCTAGGTGTTTGACGGATGTGTGTTGTGGTGTGTGGAGTGTTGAGGAAGTTGGGTATTTGTGTTGTGTTGTTGAGGTGTGTTTGTTGTGGGTGTGGGTTGTTTTATAGGAGGAAGTGGGTTAGACGGATTGTGGTGCGTGTGTGCGTAGGGTGAAGAGCACGTAGGCGGAGTTTTGTTTGGGTGTCTGCGAGTGTGGTGTGCGTGTTGTAGAGTTGCGAAGGTTAGCGTGTGTCTGTTGGCTGATGCGAGGATTATGCGGATAGGAGGTCCGGGGTGTGTATGGGTGTTGGTGTTTGTTGTATTGGAGAGGGAGGAGGGAGCGTGCGCCGCGTAGTAATGAGGTGGCTGAGTACTGCCTGGCGTTGCACCGAATCCCCTGCTGCAGGGGATTCGATGAGATGGCAGGCGAAGGTTTGTCTAATGTGTTTAACGTTAGTGGTAAGCGGGAGAAAGCTTGCGCTGAGGAAGGAATGGGAAGAATATTTGCCAGAATGTGTTAGTCTGACGGTGCCCATTTAAGCGGCATGAGCAGGTGTTTAATATTGGATTCACTGTGAGGCTTCTACGATAAAGCGTGTTACGGCGAAGTGGCGAGGATGAGTGTGTTTGTGTGGAGGAAGTTGGGGTACGGCACTATACGATTGGGTGGGGACGATGTGTGATCAGTTTGGTTGCGTTTTGGTGTGGCATGTTTTTCGCATGGGTTCCTGGTGTTGATCCGCCTTGCGCGGGAGGTGAGAGGGGTGCAGCATTGGGGTGGTAATGGGAAGTTACCTGTTGGGCTAAGGCGTTGCAGCTCTTAAAGAAAGTAGGTGTTATATATTGTGTATGATTGGGTGCGTGTGTGTTTGTTTGCAGTAGATGCTGGTTGTGTGTGGAATGTTTGTTGCCCTGCCACTCGTTTTGTGGGGTTCTGTATCACTATGCAGAATGGTAGGGATTTTTGCATTTTGTGTCGTGCTACGGAATGCTAGTTGTTGCGCGTGTGGGTTTAGGCGTAGGCGGGAGTGCGTGGGGAGCAGTGTATTTCATTGGTGAGTGTGCGAGTGGTCGCCATTTACAATGGGTGGCAGTATGTGGGAGTGAGACTAGCGTGGTGTCTCGTTAGGAAGGTGAGCATGAATGTGTTGGTTGATGCTACGAGTGTGTGTAGAGCAGATGTTTTGATTGTGTGTGGACGTGCGTAATTGCAGTTGGGGCGATGGAGTAGGCGGAGCGCCTGTAGCACTGAGGTAGGTGTGGGGCATACTAGCTACAACTGTCGCTTTTCTAGGGGGTTTTGTTTGGAGTGTGAGGCTGTAGTTGGTCGCATTGCATGCTGGTTGTAGGGCGATTGTTGGCTGCAAAGGTAGGTGTAGGAAGGTTGTGTGTCGCAGGGTGTGGAATGTTCAGGAAGTTAGTGTTTGTATTGAGTTGTTGAACCGTGTTTGTTGTGGGTGTGGGTGGTTGTATAGGAGCAAGTGCGTTAGAACGATTGTAGTGGAATTGTGAGCGCGCGGAGGAACAGCTGGAAAATTGTGTGGACACGGTATGTGGAGATGTATGGAAGTGGGGTTTGCGTGTTGTGGAGTGGCGAAGAGCAGCTTTGGTGTGTTGGTTGATATTCGGAGTGTGTGTAGTGAGGGCGCGTGGGGTTATAGGTGGGTGCGAGGATTTTGTGTGACGGACGAGGATCAGTTGAGATGCGTGCAGCGGAGTGGTGGTTGAGTGAATAGCGTGTTCCGATGAGTTGGGTATGGCGTGCCACAGCACGGCAAGCTTGTTTGGTGGCGTTTGAAGTTCTTGCTAAACAGGAGATGGTGTGTTGGCGACTAGCAAGGAGAGTGATGCATATGCAGCAGTGCGGATGCTGGACATTGTAGTAGTGCGGTTTCGTGTTTGGTATTCGCCATTATTTTGGAGTTCGACGATGTAGGAGAATTAGGCAACTTGGCGAGCATGGGCGTTTTTGTGTGAGGGACGATGCGAATGCTGATTGCAACAACATTATTGAGTGGTTTTACATTGGATGTGCTTTTGTATGACATCGGGGTTGAGGCTATTTTGGAGATAGGTTAGAGGAGTGGTGTATTAGGTTGGTCAGCGGGAGGTAGTTGTGTGTGTTTCGAGGTACAGGGAGCGCCGATAGTATGTGGTGTGTATGGGTAGGGTGTGAATACAGCTGTGGTTGGTCGAAGTACACGGGTGTTGTTGGCGGAGTGTTTGTTGCCCAGGTAGGTGTTGGACGTTGGTGTGTTGCAGTGTGCGGAATGTGAGGCAAGCTTTGGTTTTTGTGTTGTGTTGCTGAGGCATGTCTACTGGGGGTGTGGAATGTTGTATATAAGGACCTGCATTAGACAGAATGTAGTGGAATTGTGCGTGCGCGGAGGAGCAGCTGTAGAGTTTGGTGGACATTTGTCTCTCTGGGGTTTGGGTATTGTGGAGTTGCCAAGGGCATGTTAGGTGAGTTGGTTGATGTCAGGAGTGTGTGAAGTGCAGCTTTGTGGGTTTTACGTGAGTGTGGGGGTTTAGTGCCGGGAACGGATAGGCGTTTTGTTGCGAGTAGCGGAAAGGTAGTTGAGTGTGGGGTGTGTTGCGTTGTGCTGGGTATGGCGTAAGAACTGTGTCGAAGTGGTTTTTCTGGAGTTTGAATTTCGCACTCAGAAGGAGCTAGTGGGTTTTGACGTTTACCGTGTAGGAGGGTTTAACAATATGACGAGACTGGGTGTGTTTGTGTGCGTAAGGGTTGAGAACGACACTATATGGTTAGAAGGGGAGGTGTTCTGTTGTGTTAGGGTGTGTTTGGGTGTGCCATGTCTTGTGCATGTGTTGACAGGGTTGGGTGTAGCTGCACGGGAGTGTAGAAGAGTGGTGTGTTGTGTTGGTGATAGGAGGGTGGATTTGCTGCAAGGCGTTTGCCTTGCAGCTTGCGCTTATAGTAGGAGGTGTGTACGGAGTGTGTGTGGATACGGGTGTGTGTAGTGGGAGTTGATAGGCGTTGCTGAAGGGATGTTTGTTGCCAGCTAGGTGTTTGACGGATGTGTGTTGTGGTGTGTGGAGTGTTGAGGAAGTTGGGTATTTGTGTTGTGTTGTTGAGGTGTGTTTGTTGTGGGTGTGGGTTGTTTTATAGGAGGAAGTGGGTTAGACGGATTGTGGTGCGTGTGTGCGTAGGGTGAAGAGCACGTAGGCGGAGTTTTGTTTGGGTGTCTGCGAGTGTGGTGTGCGTGTTGTAGAGTTGCGAAGGTTAGCGTGTGTCTGTTGGCTGATGCGAGGATTATGCGGATAGGAGGTCCGGGGTGTGTATGGGTGTTGGTGTTTGTT